TTGACGCCGCCGCGCTTTTGTCTGTCTTTTTTTCTTTACTTTTTTACTTTCTTCCTCCTCCTCCGCCTCTTCGTGGTGGCGGGCGCTGAAGGCACCACCGGTCCGTCGCCCAACAGCACGAGCCGCAAAAAAAAAAAAAGACACGAACCGTGCGGGGCTGCAACGTGAGCGAAGTATTGCGCACACAAAAACAACACAGTACAAAAAAATAATAATAATAAAACGAAAATAAAACGAAAAACAGCAAGCGAATGCGTTTATAGGCAAATGAAACGGACGACTCGAACAGTAAACAAATTCCCTCTAGTGAATGAAGGCAATAATGAAATATTCAACTAGGCACATACGCGGCAAAACGACGAAAAAAAAAATATCGAAACAAAAAAAACTGGCACTGAGGTAGGAGTAAGAAGAAGAGAAGTGTGAGAAGGAGCATGGGGACATGTGGCTGTGAGAGGTGGCGGGATCCTGAAGAGGGCCTGGTTTCCACTCCTGCATCTACTTTTGCCTCCTGCTCCTCCTCTTGTATGTATACGTGTATCCATGAAAGGCATGTTTGTGTGGATGCATGTGCATGTGCAGGTGTGTATGTGTGTGGTTGATCACTTACTCTGTTGACACTTGCGTGAACTGATACTTGTGTGGTTGCGGGGATCTTTGTCCCTTCGCTTTACTATTCTCGTTTTTCTTTCCTATCCTCCTCAATTCCATCCTTCTCGTTTTTCTTTGGATTAATTGCTTTTTTTTTAAGTTATTACAGTTGAATTCCGTATTTGTTTTGTTTTTTTTCGCACCTTTCGTTTGTTTTTATCTGATACTTTGGTCGCTTCCTTTTTTTTATTGGTGTGTGTGGGTGTGTGTGTGTATTTGTGTTGTATTCTGTGCATGCATGTATTTATTTATATATAAATATGCGTAGGCTTTGATGCCCACCATTCGTTTGTGAGTATGCTTTTTGTTTTGTTTTTGTTTTTGTTTGGTATTTGGATGTTTGCCAACGTACTTGGTGTCG